AGTGCAAGGTGTAATAGCCATCTTCCTTTACATAGAGGCAAAATTACAAGAATAACAAGTCAGGAAAAAAAGGATACCTATACAATGCATATTTACCAAAAGCTAGAAACAGATGTAGAGATGTATGTTGAATATTGGCTGAAAAGAAAATCCCATCTGTATGTGAAATCCCATGATCATTATAAAGAGTGAGACAAGAAAACAAATTCCCCTTTTCCCTCAAATTTCAAAAATGGCCTCATATAAATCAAAGTCAGAGACTTTCTAGGAACTGATATGATAGTTCTAAATCCCATGACTATGGTGACCACAGCTTTCCAAAGAGCTCCAGTTTTGTTGCTCTTATTCCATGTAAATCCTACTTAACACTGGACTGTCCAATTTGTAAAATAGAATTTTCTTTTGCTTTGTTTCATTTTAGTTTATTATGAAGATACCTCATAGTTCTTTTCTCAATAAAGATGACCTAGCAGCATTTCAGACTAAGTAAATATCTTAGCAGATCCATTAGGATTTGGGTATTATGCAAAATAAATTTCTGCCAGCCAATTGTATTCACAAGTTGGAAGATTTTTGCATAGTAATTTAATTTTATGATATTATGTACTTAAAAATTTTTAAAGTCTGAAAGATAAGAGGATAATTTAGGATGAAAAATAATGTGTGGATTATGTGGACTGGACAAAACAGTTAATCACAGTTTATTCAGGTTAAACAGATGCAGGTGTAGCTAAGAGCAAAACTGTTTCATGGAAAATGCAGATGGGCATAAAGTGAACAGTGTTTGGAGTGGCTTAAAATAGGAATACCAAATGTATGCATATCATCAAGATAATAAAAGAAGCATKCAAAAGGGAGCAACACTTCATCAAAAATCTAGAAGCTGACATGCTAAAATCAGATGGAATCTAAACTCAACAGGTTACAATAAACTAATTGCTTAGATTACCATAAGCTCTTGGCTTTCGTAACTGAAGTGTTTTTCCCCCCTTCTTACTAAAGGACATCAAGATGTTCCAGAACTTGAAATGTATCGCAACAAAACTGTACATGATAATATTGTAAATTTTGATTGAAAATGACATTTTGGTGTTTTCGGCTAAGAAAGACAAGCCTCTAACTTGGATATAGACAAGAGAATCATAATTCCTTGTTTTCTCTGCTGCATTAGATTTGTTATGGAGGAAATGGTATGACCCTCTTTACAGGAATGGCATTGCGTCTTGCTCAGACCTCCCTGTGGTTTCTTTCCCCGTCACATGTCATGCCCCCATCCCTACATCCTTTACATCTTTCTCCATTTAACTGTCGAGGTCCTACTATGTGAAGAGTGAATTAGCACCAAAGTGCACGATTAGGTGAAATAAACTTCTGTGTTTGTTCACTAAAAGGTAGTGATCTGTATTAGTCTGGTTCTTGAACATCCCACAAAGGCCCACATGTTAAAGGTTTGGTTTCCATCCTGGTGCTGTTAGAGGAGATGGAACCTTTAAGAAATGGGCCCTTGTGGAATTTCTTTAGGTCATTGGGGGCTCGTACTTAAAGGAGACTGTGGAACCCCCAGCCCCTACCTCTTCTTCACATCCCAGCCATGAGGTGAATGGTTTGCTCTGCCTTGTGCTCCCACCAAAATGTGCTTCCTGCTTCCACCAGAGGCCTGAAAGCATTAGGTCTGCCCAATAAGGAACAAAATGTGTTAAACTGTGAGCCAAAATAAACATTTTCTCTTCAAAAGTTGATTATCTGAGACATTAGCAGAAAGCTAATACATGATCTATCAAGCAACCCTAATGAGTATGCATCAAAAAGACACATATTAATAATGTTACTTAATAATAATAATAATTTATACAGTTCAAATACATACACCTAAAACTGTTGCAGTAATTTCTTAACCCATTCTCTTTGGGACTACAATAGTTGCTTGAACAGAGACTTGAATGAAAAAAAATATGTGTGTGTGTGTGTGTGTGTGTGTGTGTGCGCGCGCGCGCGCATGTGTAGATATATTTTCATGATACAAACATATCAAGTATATATGTATGTACATGTATAGACATACATATATATAAATGTATGTATATACATGTACATATTCACTGTACATGTGTGCATACACATATGTATATACCAATTAAAAACAAAATAACATTTAAAATAAAATAATTATATTACCTTATAATTCACTGGGGCTTTGCTTATGAAGCTCTGTTTGGGCAGTTTTCMAGCTAGGTTCAGGTCTATGCCCAGCTGATATTTGGAGTAAACTCTCCTGCTCATTCTTCTCCTTCATTTGCTAGGCTCCCCATAGAACATATTACATCCTTCACTTTCCTCTGACCTGACCCCYAAACAGGCCTGGTCAGGGTCTGCCTAGATGTGACTGGTAACATTAGGAGAAGAAATTTGGAAGACAGGAAAATACTAAAGCAGCTCTTTTTCCTTAGCAATGGATCTTATGAGCTAATGGTCTTGAGATTGATATGAAATTGTTATACCAGACATCCTGGCTTTCTGTTTATATTTATGGTAAAATACCCCAGCTACAGCATGAGACACACACAGACAAAATGTTCATGTATTCCCCTGTACAGGTAAATATTCTTATCCATATATCTGGTCCAACCATACTCCTTCTTAAGATTTGACATTTCCCTTGTCCTAGTAGCTTTAAAACTCTTGGAGAGGAAAGCAGAGTCCATGGATCTTCTTCTTTCCTGCCTTTTTTTCCCCTTTTATTTACTGCTTTCCATAATCAACAGGATGTTTTAGTTTGTCCTGGGGAAAACTACCACAGATTATTTCTCTGGGAAAAAGATGTTTTGGTAAATTTTTATTTGGATAAAATGCCAAAATTATAGAAAAGTTACAGGAATAAAACAAGGAATTGTCATACAGTTTTTTACCCAGGTTATATACGTTTCCCCCCATTTATGCTGTGTGTGTGTGTGTGTGTGTGTGTGTGTACATTTACATATCAACATCATACACACACACACGAAAGATACTTTCTTTTATGCTGTTGTTTTGTTTTGTTTTCAGTACTGGGGATCAAACCTAGTACTTTGCACATGCTAGACAAGATCTCTACCACTGATCTACAACCCCAGCCCTAAACAAGACACTTTTGAATTCTAATTAACTTGTAAAGTTTTAGAGCACAAATTTTCACAATAAAATCATGACATCATTTTCTTGGCAAATACTTCCAGTCTTTTTAGAAAATATTATCAAGATAGTCAAATCAAGGTATTTCAAATAGAATTAAAATTTTCACAATCATATTTTTAGTAGGATGGAAACTTGATTCATTATATATATATATATATATATATATATATATATATATACACACACACACACACTAAAATGTTCAGCACAAATACTTAAGAAAGCTGTTGAAACAAATGATGAAGTATTATGTATATGATAAATATGGCATTCTATTTTATGGTTTTTTTTTTTTAAATTTCTTGGAGCTCCTATTATTTTCTCTAYAATAAAGGTTCAGGTCCAGAAAGAAAAAGTGTATTTACATCAACTTCATATCATTGTGACATTGTAAATATATTTTCGAAAACCCTGTAGTACTGCTCTATACCAGGGAGAAGTGTTTATTGAGACACATCCAGTCCTAAAAGACATCAAGTTTCATTGAATAAATAGTAATCATTGTACTATCTATAGTGGTACCCTTCGGATAGTAGAGGCCAATCAGAAATGACTTTTATTATTAATGTTACTATGGACTAGTCTGGGGACTAATGGTGAAAATTAAAGAGCTTTTAAAATGAACTACTTCTTGGAAATCCAAATAAGAGTTAACTGTATCTATGGATCTGCTAATGCTGACTTAAAATCTATAATGTTCATTTTTCTCTTGGTTTCAAGTTGATCTCTTTTGAAAATAAAATCCTTTTCCCAAACTAAATTGTGCATATTTTTTCATTTCATCAGAGAATTTAAACTGACATAATTAAAAATAGAAGTTTAAGCTCTATTGTTGGGCTTATAACTCCATGGTAAAGTACTTGTCTAGCAGAGACAAGACATTGGGTACYACAAACAAAACAAAACAACAAAAAACCTTCAAATTTCAGAAAATTGTTCTGAAATTTTCACAATGAAATCATGGCATCATTTTCTTGATAAATACTTCCAGTCTTTTTAGAAAATATCATCAAGATAGTGAAATCAAGTTATTTCAAATAGAATAAAAAATTTTCACAATCATAYTTTTAGTAGGATGGAAACTCRATTCATAGTATATATACACACACTAAAATATTCAGCACAAATACTTAAGAAAGCTGTTGAAAGAAATGATGAAGTATTATTTTTCACTTCTGAATTTGAGTTTTCTTCTTGGAACTTTTTTGGCTCAGCATGTCAATAGAGGATTCTGCTAAAGAAGGTCTAAATTATTCCAAGCATATGTGCATACGTGTGTATRTGTATATATATATATTTTTTGAATGTTTTATTATTGTGCATACTTGAACCCCATATCACTTCTGGCTAAATTAAATTAAAATATTATTGCCTCTTAATATAGACTAAAAGCCTTTTAAAAAAATGTTCTGAATAGTTTAATGATTTAATAGAATTTGATAGAATCTTAATGATTTAATAGAAATTAAATTGCTAGTGTGAATTAAAAGAGCCTTTGCCATATGTAGAATAAAAATGTCAAAAAAAAGAAAATATTTATTGTATGACATTGTATTGTGAAGAATATTTTTAACTTCAAAAAATGAAAATTGTTCTTTGATACTTACAGAACTATTTTATTACATATTGCTTCTGACTGCTTATTTTCTAAAAAGAGAGGAACAACAACCACAAAAAATATGAGATGCACAAAGAAAAAAAAGCTCAGCTTATTTTGTTATACACACTAACAGATAAATGAGAAAATGCAATAAAATGCAGAATTTGAAAGGTTGAAAAAACTTACAATATTTAGGACTGTAATTTCTATTCAATATTTTTTTAAGGCAACACTATCACAAATACACTTTAGTAACCATGACATTGCACCAGGACACAAGATTTCAGGTGACTGCATCACTTTGTACAGTTGACTACAATTGCCTGATATATGTACAATGCGTGCTGAATTCAGAGTGCAGGCAGTTAAGTGATTGTTATATTACAGAAATACACCTTCAGAAGTCACTGATTGAGGTTTCTCTTTGAAGAACTGAAGTACTGAAAGGAATATATTTTTGTCATGTTAAATGGGGAAAGGGTAGATTATGACTTAGCTCCTGAAATTTTAATACTGCTCTTGAGTCTCTGCAATTCYAATGTGCTTTCAGAAACTCTACACATTCTTGAAGGAGTCAGACCCAAAGACTAACAAGCATATAGCTCACTAATCTATTCCTGATGCTTTGCCTAAGAAATTGGCATTGCCATCTTCAACGTCTTTCTTTTGGAACCACGGTTTTGAATTTGTTCCTTGTTGATAAGAATCCAGAAAATGACAGATTCCAGGAATTTCACTGGGGAAGTTTGGTGGAAGTTCCTCCCTTGATCGAGGGGTAAACACAAAACCAGGACAGTCTTTGAGTAATCTGAAAAGGTTAAAATAAATATAGTAAGAGTTAATGCTGACATAATATTGGGCRAGCCAGGAAAAGAAGACAACATAAATAAATGAATATAACTAAACCAGCCATTTCAGGTGTAATTGACAGAAAGATTTTCATGATGTTAACAGACATCTTCACTGAATAAATACARTGAAAAATAAAATTCAAAATAACAAGAAAATTCTACTAATATATTTTACTCTTATTAGAAATGAATAAAATATTGTGAAATATTCTGAGATACAATTTATATAACAGTGTGATTCACGGTATTAAAAAAAGATCTAATAACAGCATAATTAAAATATTATTGAATAAGGATTCTTAAAATGAAAAGTGTTAAGTCATGGTCCCTTTATCAATTCATGAACTGTGAATTGATAAAATTCCAGATTAGTAGAACTCAAATGAGATGTCATTGAACATACTCACTGTGTACTTTCCATTTGGTATGTATTTATAGTATTTTCCTCTTAAGTCCATCAGTTCTACCAAGCCTTATTATTTGTTACTTGTCCATTATGCTAAATTCATTTTAAATTAGAACCTTACTGATTAAGTTACTGAATTCGCTTCCCATTTGCTTCCCTAGCTTTCTATCAAATGCAAAAATCATTAATCATTCTCTCTAATTTATGATTCAGGCCAAGGATAAAMTTTATTGAATAGTTCTGGGACCTAAAGTAATGCTTACAGAAAATCATTTACCATTTCTACTTAACAGAAATGGCTATGTTTTTTATTCACCCGTCTGTGGTGTCAGGTCTTAAGGAAATCTGAATTAGATTTTAGTGCAGTGATTTTCTTCTGTGCCCTGAAAAACCCAACTGAATTGGATTTCATGTCTGAAGAAAGAGTCTAGTATAATACAACACACCAATATTCTATTAACTGCTACAGTACATCAATAAATATATCATATGTAAGATAGGAAAACTAATAAAAATTGTGCTTTTATCATAAAATCAATATTTTAAAGTGGCTGTAATTTATAGGGCATAGTATCTGATGAATATACTCTAATATGACTTGAGTAGAAGAAAGACACTGGCTTATACATATCATATAATACATATTATATAACAGAGCATGCACACAGATTCTGGCTTACTTACACTCTAAAATACATATTATAACACATAATATTCACTAGAGTGAATAGAGTGTAATAGAGTGTAATAGAGTAATAGTAATAGAGTGACATGCTAGATTTGGATCGCATTGGCTTGGGAGCCAACTTAAACACTATTTTATATTTGCATAGCATCCAGTAAGTGTCTACTGCTTGTCTTGATTAACACTAAATGTGTACCCATTATTAATCAAATTTCACAAAGCATAAATATTTCATTGAGATTTCAATTTTCTATTTCTTTTTAAGTTTTCCTGTCACATTGAAAAATAGTGAAATACCACTAACAGAATTTTAAAATATTGTCAAATGTCTCTCACATTATTTCTTGCACAAATAAAACGTTAACTATTTGGATAGGATATAAGTATTTCCTCTATAAGAATAAAGTGAAAGTCAATTATCATTCAATCAATGAGAAAAGAAAAAGGCTAACTCTATTTTTCTACAAAAAAAAAAAGGGAAGTGGGGAGAGTGGTAAAGCTGAAGTGGGCTAGCTCATTTGGGAGAGAATCGCGGCATGACTTGGATGGTAGCACTGAGAAAGGTGAGAAAAGCTGTATTCAGGATGTAGTTTGTAGGTGGACATGGTGAGATTTAAGGAGAAGAAAGTAACAGCCACTGTATAGTTTAGTGTCTTGGTGAAAAAGGTAGAGTGGTGTCCTTTTAAGGTGATTAGTAAGGTTTAGCTGGGTGGGAAGTGAATTTCATCAGGGTATAGTGTATTGGAACTCACTCCGTTAAGTTTATTTTCCTATGTCAATTAGTCATCTAAGAGGAAATACAGGATAGGATGTATGAGTCTGTAGCTCAGTGGAGAATTATGAAATGGTCTAGAGTTTAAAAAAAAAGATAAGAGTCATAAAAGTTCATTTTAAAATTTAATTAATTAAATTTTTTTTTCTTAAGTTAGGTTCTCATTGTGCTGACCAGGCTGGCCTTGAACTCCAGGGCTTAAGCAGTCTTCCTGCCTTCGACTCCCAGTAGTGGGGACTACAGGCTTTCATCACTGCACCCAGAAAGTGAGTCATTCATAGACTTTCAGACACAGAAGAGGGATGGGACAGAGTCTGATGCTGTGACATTTAAGAGTCTGGTGGGGAGGACTACACACAATAGACACTCAGATGGTGTAGCCCTGTGGTAAAAAGAAAACCAGGTAGGTGTAGAATAAACTTTTTAAAGAAGGGAATGCTCCCCAAGCCCATTCAATTGCTATTGAGATGATATGGAACATAAGGAGAGAGAAATGGACCATGATTTTAACAATGTCCACTGAGGATCAGATAAGAACCATTCCAGTGAAGAAGGGACAAACATTGAAAAGGGACTGAGTTAAAGAGCTGCAAGAGAGAGAGAGAGAGAGAGAGAGAAGACAAAATAGAGAGACTGAGGATAGATGGCTCCTTTTTTAAAATTTATTTTTTAATTTTTTCTAATCTTTTATATATATGGCAGCAGAACGCTTTTCTATTCGTTGTACACCAATGGAGCATAATTTTTCACTTCTCTAGTTGTACACGAAGTAGGGTTGCACCATTTGTGCAATCATACATGTTCCCAGGGTAACGATGTCTGTCTCACTCCACTGTCTTTCGTCTCCTCATTCRCCCTCTCTTCTCCTCCCTCCCCTTTTCCCAATCCTCCACTTGTCCCATGCATACTCTCATCATGGATTAGCATACACTTATCAGAGTAAGCATTCGGCCTTTGGTTTTTTGAGACTGGCTTATTTTGCTTACCAGGATATTCTCCAACTCCATCCATTTACCTGCAAATAGCATAATTTTACTCTCTTTTAATAGAAGAATTATATTCAGATGGCTTCTTTTTTGTTTTACTATGTAAGGAGCAGAAATACAAGATGGTAGCAGGAGACGAACTTGAAAATGAGCGAGTTTTTATGTTTTCAAGAGCTTCATTAGTAAGATAAGTTTGAAGGCTGTTGGGAATAATTATTTCATTCAAGAGAAATCCATCATGGAGAAAAGACAGTTATTTTCTAGCAGGAAAGTTCTTGAGAAGGTTACAGGAATAACATTCAAAGCAAAGCTATTTAAACAGGAGCAAGGCAGCTGGCCCAGTGCCCTAGGAACAAGAGCTGAAGACATGGGCACTGAGCTGGTGGTGAGGATAGATTTGACAGCATGAAGATGGATGGTGGAGTTCTCATCCAACTGCTGAGAAACAGGAAGCAAGGTTTTCAGGGGAGTCTGGGTTGGAAAGCAAATACTGTTGGAGATTTCAGGAGAAAAAAAATGATGCTCCAAAGGAATTATCTCTGAGAATAGTAAAACAATTTGCTTACTGTTTTAGCTACCATATAGTTCTGGAAAATGTTTTTGTTATTTAATAGTTTTGATTATAATGTTTTATTTGAGTGTGACAAAATTCACAGGACCAATATATTTCTATCAGTACAGAATGGTTTATTTTCTGGTTAAAAGGTGGATAAGAAATACCACAATGACAGGTTTTGTTCACTCAGGTTGTTCAGGGCACGCTGTCATGGAGACAAGTACTCTTAGTGCTAGATAACAGGTGGCTCATCTTTTACTATGTGAACATTAGCTGCTTGTCCACAAGACTCTGCATACCTGGAAGATGTTTAATGACCTGCCAGTTTTCCTCTGGGAAACTGTCCACTGCTATAGTTAGGGAATTGCATTGATGCCAGTCCTTGATTGCAGGGAGCACGTTTCCAAGATTTCCTGAGTTATAGGAATGTTTTTGCTTTTCATGAGCCTTTGGATCACACCTGAGTTTATGATAAGGAGATGACTCTGAATGGGGGCAGAGTTCCAGAGAAGACAAGTAGGTGATTAGAAGACTGAAAGACTGGGGGAGAAGAAAGAGTGTTTGGAAACTGAGTTCAATTACAATGCCATTGAGTAAATCAATTACGTCTACATAATGCAACCAACGAGTCCTGACACCAAAGCCTACAGCTTAGTGGAGCRTCTTGGTTGGTGAACCCAATGATATGGTAAGAGGGTAACGTGTCCTGAATCCATGGGAAGGTGGCATGAAATCTCCATAGTGAAGATCTAATTATTTGACTTGAGGGGATCTTGGGAACACTGGAATTTGTAGCCAGTCAAAAGTGCTGGTAGCTTGAGGACTCCTGAAGTATGGCTGGCATCTGGTTTTTAAAGACAGTATTATTGGGAACTGTGTCCTACCATGAGTCTATGCTAATTTTGGGTAGTTAGCACAGAATTGTGCTGAAGTACCCCAACTGTTGTGAAAATGCCTATTGATGTACTGGAGAATATTAATATATGCTTTTTAAAAAACAGTGATGAAGGAAGATGTGATGTCTGTCAAGAATTACAATTGAGTCACAAATATCTCATGAAGCTAATGAGTGATTTTAAAACAAGGTAGGGGAGCTGGGGTGTAGCTCAGTGGCACAACACTTGCCTAGCATGGACAAAACCTTGGGTTTGATCACCAGCACCACACAAAACAAACAAAAAAAATACAAAATAAAATCAGTTAAAGTGAACATGGTTAGAAGCTATTGCTTCTCTTTTTCCTTTGATATTATCTGTGCAAGAAGAGAGCTATGGAAAATTAATCAAATCAGTTATATAAAAATGACAATTTTATATAGTAAAACAATATATTTCAGGTGTTTAACACCATTAGTACCTGTAGGTTGTTGGACTAACATTGATTTTTCGTGGCACACTGCAGGACTCAAATTTGTTAGCCAGAGTAACATTATTTCCAAAAAGGCAGTAACGGGGCATTTTAACTCCAACAACTCCAGCAAAAACAGATCCAGAATGCAGTCCAATTCGCATCTGAAAGTAAAAACATAAAAATGTTCCCAGTTTCTGGTAAACCACTTCCTACTTGTCACTGATAAACTGTTTCCTACTTGTCAGTGTTGTTTGAATATCTTGTCTAAATTATTTTTACCAGTAGCTCCGACCACACCATTGCCTTCCTTAACACTTCCTTCTATTTCTCACATGCAAGTAAAAATTATTAGTGAGGAATCAGTAGTCTCCCCCTTACCTCTCTTCCATTTATATGGTTAGGTTTCTTAGGCAGACCACGTTTATTACCTTAATTTCTGAAACACACATACCCTTATGGTCACTACAGCCATGTAACAAGGAATCTGTGGGCTGTTTATGTAAATAAGCTCTGTCCATCAAGTGAGAAAGATATAAATTCTGGACTCTGGGAGTTGTTTCTCAAAATAGTGACAGAGAATGGCAAAAGAAAAAAAAATGGAATTTTTCAAAGCCTGGCAAAGTACCACACATCTATTGTCCCAACTCCTCYAGAGGCTGAAGGCAAGAGAATTACTTGAGCTTGGGATTTCAAGGCACCTGGGGAGCATAATGTGGCTGTACCCCTAAAAAAGTTTTTTTAAGGATGTTTCATTTTAAAATAATTTATGTCAAATGTTATCCCATTATCAAAATGACTAACTATGGAAGATAAATTGTAATATTTAAGTAGAAAATGACACAAGAAAATAAAAATTAGAATTGCCAGAGATAAGATCACACGGACTATAATCTATGTATTCTATACACACTAAAGTAAAATTCAGATTCATGCAACACCAAAGTTGTGCCATATCTAGAAAAAAAGTCAGTATGTAATCTGTAATATGTTGGCATAAAAGTTGAAGAGATATGAATGACTGAAGGATGCAGTGACATGGAATATTTTTAATGGAATCTTYTAAAATATCTAATATTTGATAATCTAAGAAGATGTACAAATTCTTAACACTACAACAGTAAAAGTTAATATATTTTAAATGAGAATCAGATATCATATAAATTTTTTTCACATTCTATGTGTAGTTGACCATTTGAAAACATTTTATTAGATACATGCATTTTAAACAAAAGCCAAGGATTCAGTAACATGGATACAATTAAAAAATCTGAAAAAAATAAAAGCCTATCTTTTATCCACAAATATAAACCATGACTTCAGCACAATTGATTGAGTAGTTATCACTCTCTTGGGGATTCTTTTGGTCAAACCAATTTTTCTCTGTTTATTTAGTTACTCTAGCTTTTCATATGATACACATACCATGGCATTTTAATCTTATTATTTCATAAATAATATGTAAATACATTCTCTTCAAAGCCAAAGCCAAAGCTCAGAGAATTCTTCCCATGCCTGTCACCCTTCCTCCCCTTTTCCAGTTCTCAAATCAACCCCAGCGGCTTTTTTAGAGAACTTTCCAAATATATGAGCAAGAAAATGATCCAAAGTTTAAAATGCACATCATGCCCTGAATGCATATCTTTACACTGGAAAAAGACTTCTATGGAAACAATTGAAGACTAACAGACTTCTGTCTCCCACTAAAAGCTGAATTGGGAACCTACTGGGAGAGTTTCATATTTGGGGACCACTTTTGGCCTAACTAATTACTTATTCTAGGCTTCTGGGAATAGGAAGATGGAGTACCAAATGTTTGTTTCCTTGTTCATTAACTTAGAGACTCTCACTGTGACATTCAGCACTTCAGTCTATCTTCTGTCCACTGCACTTATCTAAGCTGGAGTGGATATACGTTAGTGAAGCTGTAAACAGGAATTGTATCAGTGAATAATTTGCATATGGGATGTGCTGGAAAAAAGCACAGAGTTTGAAAAGGAGGAAAAAAAAATAGTTTTCATTTTTTTTTTTTAATTTCAAGTCCATTCCATGAGGTAACCAGGTAAGAAGTAGAAGTTTGAGATTTGAAGCCAAATGGACCTGACTCCAGCTCCTAATTCATAAAAGATTTTACTCTTGTCCATCTCGGTGAATTGTGGCCTATTCTTCTTAATGTTGAAGGTCAAATGAGACACTGTTTAAGCCACAGTGTGCTCCTTTCTGATACATATTTATGTTCCCTTCCCTCTAAAAATGCTTTATACTCTGGCTTTGTAATGTTTCACATGCATTTTCTAAAACTCACATATTTCACAGGACTGCCAGTAAGAACACATAAAATGATATGTTTTCTGTGTCACTTTACAGCTCAGAAAATCTAATCTATTATTACTCAGGTAACTTTGTTAAAGTTATTTATAAATAATCCATCAAACTAAAAAAATATTTAAAAAATACAAATATTTAGGTAAATAATAAAAATCATGCCATTAAACCCACCCTCTAAAGCACATCTTAAGTATAAAATTCATTTATGTGGAAAACACCATTTTCTATTTCAATATTTTTAATATTTACTCTATTGCTATGAATACTCACAAAGAAATAGAAAGAAATGCACAATTCTCCTCTAAAAACGCAATTAAAACACAGATGCAAATTTCATGCTCCTTCTATTGAGACATGATGTCTAAGCTGGCTCTCCTCTGGGCAGCCACATGATTACTCTGATCAACAGTATTCAGCAGAACTTTCATTGTGTATCTTCCAAGGCTGGATCATAAAAGGTCATGYAGCTTCCATCAATTTTGTTAACTAGCAAGTAAGTTACCACCTAAGAAGTGGCTACTCTGAGACTGCCATGTTGTAACATCTGGGCTGATGGTCCCAGCAGAGCTCAGGCTGTCTGCCATCCTCACCAAGGAACCAGGTACATAAGTGAAGCACCATCTTGGAATAGGTCCACCTGCTCCAAGCAATACAATCCTAAGTATTCCAGGTATCCTCCACTTCTTGTGTGTTTTCCAAGCTAAGGTCTCAGATCCTGTTAAGCAAAGACAACCTAGTGTTCCCATGCCTTATCCAGATTCCTGGAAAACAGAATCAATGCATAATATAAGATATTGGTCTAACACCACTAAGTGTAGGGAAGTATGTTAGTCAGCAACATACAAATGGGATGGCAGAAGATTTCAAAAATAGTGGTGAAGGCTTGGGCAGATGGCTTGGTTAAAGAAAACCAAGGCTAAATCTCTAATTATTACAGTTCTGGTTTTCATTTTTTTCTTTTACRTTTTATTGCACACCAGATGGGATTATACATTACTTTAAGGGGCCATTTCTAAAGGTCCCAAATTGAGAAGTATTCTATAAAAATTAAGCAGCAGATTCACTGTCAGTGGGGAAAATGAATGTGATCCACTCATGTTATTGAACAAATACCTACCTTGCTGATTTTATTTCTTCTCTATAATAAGATATTATTTCTGAGATCCGGGTCATCTAAATTTTTTGAAATGTTTTCTGCCTTGGAAAATATTGGTGGATGCATAATCAACATTTATTGTAACAAAATGTCCTTCCTTACAGGTGCAGGTTCTATCCAACTAAGAACTACATTTTCCAAACAGCTTTGCAGCTTCTAGATGTAGATAAGTTGGTGAATCAGATGTATTTACATAAGATTTGGAAGACAAGATTTTCATTGTGATTGTGTTTCTTTTGCTTCCAGGTGCAAACACAGTTGTGGAAGCTTTTGGTTTTCTATGAGATGCTTAGCAGAGAGTCCATTTTCTATTCAAGTATCTTGTGATGGTCATGATGTAGAATTTTCACCTTGCCGAGTGATATTGTAGTAGGTGCATTTTTGCTCTGTAGCCAATAGTAGAAACAACAGCTTTGTGAACACAGTAGTTTCCTGATGGTCRCTATGATACAGTTGTTCTGGAATCAGCTTTCAGACCATGAAAATAAAAAGGATCTGAGACCTTAGCTCAGAAAACACACAAAAAGTCCTGAAGTTTGTTTGGGAGAGTCAATTTTTCAAAGCCCAAATTATAAATGACTTCTCAAGTCCTCTCAATAATTGTTAAGCCATTTAATGTTCTTTAGTAAACTTCTTCCTGCTAAAACAAGTTAGAGAAGATTTTGCTGTCTGCAATAAACCCTGACTAATAAATACACCATTCTTTGATAACCAACCCTTAAGCCTTTGGTCTCATGACATTCTGTTAACAATATATAATCTGTCTTACCTTGATAGGTTCTCCATGGGGAGACATGACTTCGTCAGAGAGCTCCATCATCTTTAGGGCCATCAGGGCTATCTGGACGGCGTGGGTATCAGTCTCCCTGTGTAATCCCCCTGCTACACAATATGCATCACCAATGGTCTCCACCTAGATGTACGGTATGTTGCATACTATAAATAAAAGCTCAGGAAGACCCACTGGCATATATTACATATTAGAAATCAAGAATCAAATAGCAGAAATCTGCCAAGTGTGGGGTCGCATGCCTGTAATCCCAACAGCTCGGGAGGCTGAGACAGGAGGATCACGATTTCAAAGCCAGCCTCAGCAATGGCAAGGCACTAAGCAACTCAGTGAGACCCCATCTCTAAACAAAATACAATACAGGGCTGCAGATGTGTCTCAATGGTTGAGTGCCCCTSAGTTCAATCCCCAGTATACCCCTGCTCCCCCCACAAAAAAATAGCAGAAATCTCAAGGCTCAGGCCCTATGGAGAATCAGGGTAAATCATATACTCTCAGAAGAGAGTTTCCCCTCTCAGGAAATTCACAAGGATTAGACCTCTTACATTGGGGCACTGCAGAATCCTGTGAAATACAGTGTCAGGCAGCTTCTATTCTAAAGTTGCAACTAACTTGCTAAGTCATTTAACCTATTTTTTCCCCACCATGTAAAGCAGCTTGTGTAGAAACAGATGAAGTATATTAGTTTTATAATAAATTGCCTAAAACTTTAAAAATATTTAGTCATTTTATAACTCCCTCATCATAAAACAGTGTAGGATGAAGTCATCCTCAATAAATGTCATATGAATGTAGTAAAAATGTGTAATGCAAAACTAAGACACTAATAGTCTTAAGAGTAAAAGAGTCCTTTTTTTTTTTTTACCTAAATTACTTTTGGGGCTCTTACAGCAATTACTAACAGTATATGTGCATATCAATCACAAAAGATAGAAAGCAGACGTCAAATCAGAAGATAAAAGTAATGATGCTTGGTAAGCTACTGGAAATCAAGCTGTTATATAAATTCCAAGTACCACCACCACCATCATCATCATCATTATCATTGACACTGGCGATTTTTTTATCTGTCTGTGATACTGGCCACAAAAAACTAAATATTAACTTAAATATATAAATATTTTCCCTAATTCTAGTAGTTGCATTTTCTTCTTCTCTAAATATTTATTATAACCTATTAGACCATATTACTCCGAAGCCTCCTCAATGAAGGGATAAAGTTGAAGAAGGGACAAAAGAGAAGCTTTTTGTCGTTGCCTTTGGTAATTTGCTACACACTCAGAAGCCTTATCATGSCATCACCAAAGTTGTTCTTAACCTTTCTGCTAATCTTCCAATCCTGCCACTTGCTCAAGTTGTTTCCATGTCACTGGCCTCCTGTTATCCGTTAAACATACCAAATGTGTTCCAACTTCCCATTTCTTCTCCTGGAACGAACTCTCTGCAGATAAAATTTGACTGCCCCCCAACCCCACCATTTCCTCCAGTCTCTCTTGTAGCATTTTATTCCTACTGAGTAGAATCTGGCATCTGTCACGTCATGTAGAAATCTGGCATTTGTTAGCTTTGCTCTTTTCTCCCTCTCTCACCACATATGGACCCTTCTCCCCCTGGTTTGTTTTCTCCTTCTTTGTATTCATTGCCTACCCAAAATGGAAGACGCTGTATAACCAATAAAATTTTGCTAAAACAATGGACCAAGGGATGCAGGAGTACACATGGCAATGATCGGAAGATTGAGACAGAAAGAAAATGAAATTACATAAAGTCCTGGTACAACTAAGTCCGGCAATAAATAAGGTTGGCTATTCCTTAGAGTCATTGCACTTGGAGGTGAGCCTTGGTTGTGCATTTTGGAGATCTTAATTTAGCCGATGGCTATGACCCTTCCTTGTTTACTTTCAGCTCTCTCCAGATATTTTCATGCAAAATTAGAAATGGGGGGAGGAAATCCTGGGAGAGCAGATGATTTATTACCTAGCTCCAGCTGCATTTAGGCTAACCAGGGAACTCTATGGCTGCAGTGCTTGTAGGAAGGAGCACAGTTTCTAAAATTCTTGATTGGGTATTTGGAGACTACTCTGTACCCTTAAAGGAATTATCAGAATAGAAGAGGGCTACTTCTGCTAGCAATCACAGCAGGTTAAATGGAGAAAATGACACCTTCTCACAGCTCGGGGAGAGGAGACATTCTCAAGACAGAAACTGACTACAAATAAATATAGCAAATTCCACAAGAGGTCATCAAACTTAACTAAACTGAAGCCAATTATTTTATCTGCAATTATACAGGGACTCCCTACCACCACCAAGGGAATCATAGTACTGTTTGGAATTTCCTGTTAGAAATTTCAAAAAGGAAGTTCTTGCTTCTAGCATCTCAAGTAAAACAACACAAGGGTTTATGTATTCCCATAAATAAAATTTGTTTCCTCCTCAATAATTTATTTATTTCATGTTCAAACTCTGGAATGCCAGATTGTTATGTGGCAAATTAAGCAGATGATTTGAGACTTACAAATGAGATGAGTGCTTTATTCTTAATGCCAAAATCCATAACAAGGCCAGATACTTATATTTTATTTTTTATTTTATTTTTTTTTGTGGTCCTGGGGATGGAACCCAGGGCCTTGCACATGATAGGCAAACACTCCACCCTGGAGTTACATCCCAAACCCCAGGTAATATAATTTAAACCAATATGAAACTTTTAATTCTAACGAAGCAAGCATAATGTGAAATTTCTTCATTATCTCTCTTCCTAACAATAGTTAGACTTTTTGAAAACTAATTTATTAGGTGTCAGAGACAGTTAATGTTGTATCCTCAGTGTTAATTATAATCATTCAATAAATCCTGAATATCTGATCCATAACTCTCTCTATGATAACCTTTGTAACAGTCTTGTTCACAAAGTTTATGGGATGTAGTTAGTGTGTTACTCATGCATATAAACTCGAGGTGGATATTTCTCTGTTGCCGAAGTGAGAAAAGGTTTTTCACTTGCTCAGTTTATTGTGTATGCAAGGTAGAGAACAAATTTGAAGACAGATCTGTCTTATTCAAATGTCTACCCTTGACCAAGCTGCAAAAAAAAATGCCTTAAATAGATAATTCTGATTTCTGTTAACTGGCTATGAAAAGTACCATGTAAACTCTGTTTACATGAATTAATCTATTTAAAGGGAATTTTTTATAATCATCATGGTTTTTTTTACTCTTAAAGACACAAAGGATAAAGTTCTCCTGTATGAGTCACACCCTGAAATATCTCATGCTTCATAATTCAACTCGGTTTGCACAGTGAAGTGGCTGCTCTCTTGACTCTTAAACTCTACCTTTTTACTGTCTTCCATTCAGCCTTTCCTCCCTCCTCCATTCTATGCTTATTCTTTGAGAAGACAATGTGGCAGTCCTTTTCTGGAACAATTAGCTCTGTTTCTGTGCAGATCCAGAGCTATTTTGGGCTGGAGAACACCCACATAATTGATATACAAAGACTGTTCCAGGATATAGCTTTCCTGAYCCTGCAGAGAAAGCCTGTCATTTACATTACAATTCAGATTCTAGGCACAGTACTTTTTTCACAGTGACTTTTGCCTGTAAATGGCCATTCCCCTGCTCCACCCTTACCTTGTACACATCCAGCTCTCCACACTGTTGGTCAAAACGAGTGTAGAGGGCATTGAGCATGGTGATGACCTGCAGTGGTGAGCACTGGGAGCAGATGGCAGTGAACCCAACGATGTCTGAGAAAAGCATGGTGACATTACTGAACTTCTTGGCTTGCACCACCTGCCCTTGCCACAGTTGTTGAGCCACCTCAGAGGGGAATATAGAGCACAGAAGGTCTACTGTCTTTTTCTTCTCTTCCTCCAGGGCTTGGTGGGCTTGCTCAAGGGTGGCCTTCAGCTTCCCCAGCCTCTTCTTCAGGCCATCTTGAGCTCGAGCTTGTTCCCCTATCAAGACCACATCCCTCAGTGCGTTGTGAATTGGGATGTCTGAGAGGTAGAGCCCTCTTCCTGTAAAATCTTCCAATCTGTCCACACAGGGTGACCCCAAGAACAATATTGCACTGGATTCAACAATGTAGATCATTTGGCCTTTGAGATCCATAACCTGCAAAACAAAGGAGAACCCAATTGTTTTGGTTTATTCAAGTTTGCAGCATCTTTCTGAGACAAAAAGAGAGGAAGTACATACAGGGATAATCACTAGGCATTCAAACTCTGTTTTTTAACCTAAAGCAAAAGAACAAAATGCTTTCTAAAAGTTCCAATTTGGTATGAGTTCTAAAATGCTTGGAGATATTTGAAGAACATTTTGGTGTATGCACTACACAAAAATTATGATTTCCAATGGACAATTCAAAACATTTTGGCTTCAAGGCTTTCTTACCAAGAAGCATGCTGATAATTTTGCTAATATATTCTTTTAATATTTCCCTTCCTTCTTCCTTTCTTCCTCTTTCTTTCTTTTTTATTCTTTTWTCTATTTATTTTTAGTTATAGTTGGACACAATACTTTTATTTTATTTATTTTTACGTGGTGCTGAGGATTGAACCCAGGGCCTTACACGTGCTAGGTGTGTGCTCTACCACTGAGCCACAACTCCAGTTCTTCCTTCCTTCCTTCCTTCCTTCCTTCCTTCCTTCCTTCCTTCCTTCCTTCCTTCCTTCCCTTTCCTTTCCTTTCCTTTCCTTTCCTTCCTTCCTTCCTTCCTTCCTTCCTTCCTTCCTTCCTTCTTTCTTTCTTGCTTTCTTTCTTTCTTTCTTTCTTTCTTTTTCCTTCTTCCTCCCTCCCTCCCTCTCTTCCTTTCTTCCTTCTCCCCACACCCTCTCTCTTTCTCTCTACAAGTGATTGAACCTCCCACATCCTGAGCCCCTTTTATGTTTTATTTCGAGAAATAATTTCACTAAACCTGGGCTACCTAAATTGCTAGGCCTACCTAAATTGCTGAGGCTGTTTTCAAACTTGCAATTCTCCTGCCTCAGCCTCCAGAGCTGCTGGGATTACAAGCATGCACCACTATGCCTGACACTTTTGATGTTATTTATTGGCTAATCTGGAGTTGCGCTTTTTGTATAATTTGTGGTATCCATGAAAAACATAGTCTTCTTTCCTCCCTCCCTTTTTCTTTTTCTTATCCTTTCTCCCTACCCTACCCTTTTTAAAAAATTTTTTTGCCATCTGTTTTAGCATGCTTTTTTTTTCTCTTCCTCTTGTATCATGAGCTACTAATTCCATTTGGTAGATATGGAAGTTAAAAATCCTCAAAGGTAAGATTTTTGCCTTTAAAGAAAGAATTTGTCATGAGAAATCCCACAAAGGTATCTTTTATAAGTCATTATCTCCCAGAGACTTCACTGGGAGAAAGCTGATCCTATAGAAAAAGTAATGTCCCTATTTCAACTTTGCCTGTAGCACTTAACCAATGCTGCCTTTTATAAACACAAAACAGAGTACCAACCAGCTAGCACAATGGGGGGTTGGAAGAGGTGATCAAGTTGGACCACAGAAAATTGGTGCACATGTGCACAAATATGTATGTGTGTCCACTGAAGCAATTATTTGCAACACAAATATTCTTCAATGGGAGATTGGTTAAATAAAGTAGAACACGATCATCCAATGGAATAGCACAATTTCCAAAAAAGTGAAATAGATCTATACCCAATAATATGAAAGGATGACCAAAACATATTGTTTAGCCAAAAAAGTAACTTTGAAATAATAATTTTGCTGTAAACAAAAATTTAAATAACTGATATTTTCAAATTTTTGCTGTAAAGAACATCTTTGTGTATTAGCCATTTAAAAACACATGTAGATATGTTAATTTTACTATAAAAGTTAACATTAAAGCTGTTTCAGTTTTGGAAACAGTGGTTGTCCTGGGGTTATAAGCAAAGCCTCTCAGCTTTTTGTTTACACTATCAACTATGACTGTAAACTTTCTTTCCTGAAACTAAATAATTACCAAAGTTCTCTATCATGATGTGTCAAAACTCATCCCCTACCACACTCTCTGTAGCAATTAATCATATCTATTAAGTATTGATTAAAAATCAATTTAGTGGTTGGGGATGTAGCTGAGACATAAAGCATTTGCTTAGCATGTTCAAGGCTCTGTGTCAGATACTCAACACTGCAAAAAACAAATAAATAAACATTCATTTAGTTACCTCTTACAATATGTGGTTTTTCTTTACTTATTATAAAACAATATTTTTATCATTCAAACTAAATTAACTATTTGGTAATTAAAATAATTTTATATAAACACTTATCTAATTTAAATTTAAATACCCAATAAGGATTTTGAAAGGCAAATTATATTCAATAAATATTTGTGAATTAATGAATCAAGTAAGCAAATAAATGAATGCAGAAAGGATTTTGAAATCATTACAGCCTCAGAAGGGAGTTGTTTTAGACATAAATGTGTAATCAAAACATTTGAGGTGATGCAATGGTTTTTAGTACTCAAATATGAAATAACAATTTATATGAACGATAACATTGTGCTTTCCTTACCCTTGAAGCTTTCTTCACAGAGTTGTCCCATCTCCTCACTCGTATGACAAATTGCATATTCAACATTGTCATGATCCCACTAAAGGTTTGGTTGATTTTGGGAGTCAGAATTTCAAAGTATTCTTCAAAATTTGGCTTTCCTTGAAAGTCCCTCCTGTTCATCAGTCTTCTAATGCCATTGCCAAGTTGCAGAATGGTCAGATCTTTGTCAAACATGAAATGGAATGGGAAGGTCTTACAGAAGAGCGATGCGGGGATCACCAGGGAGGACTGGGGTTTCCCGGGGGACAGAGACGGTTTGGTGCTTTTCACGTGGACAGAGTATAACAAATAGGGCTGATTGACGAATTCCGTGCAATCACTCCGGAAACAGGGAGGCATCAAGGAYACGTCCACTTCGGTCTCATACAGTGTGTGAGCAGCTGCCTTAATGACACCGGGAAGGATCAGGGATGTGATTTTCTTGGGGAAGAAATAGTAAACATTTAAGAAATCMTGCTCCTTATCCAGGCATAGAATGGAGGCGTCTTCAAGCCTGCCCTTCTTTTCTGCTTCCTGGCAATGGCTGCTCTGTTTCAGGAGGGTGCTGAAGCTGTTTAAAAAATCTTTCAGGGTGCCTCCAACCACGCCGAGTATGTGTTCGTCTTCCTCATAGCAAATTTTAAAGAGCTCTTCACCGAGGGATTCTCTGATGGTCTCCGCTGGAACCCCTGACAACACAGAGCACATGTCAYTCCTATTTTCAACCTGGTTTCATTTGCTTATTCAGTTTCCTCTTTATCTATTACCTCTAATAAGAGCTCCAACCAAAATCAAATAACTAGAGTCAAATTATCAATACCRCTTAGCTTCTAAAATTCTGGTTAAAATTCTGAGTAAAAATCCTCAGATTATCTTTTTAAATGACCAATTTAGTGTAATAAACTACCTTTTAATCTCTCTTAACTATAAGACAACAATTAGAATCTCAGGATGAAGTCCATTTAGGAAAAAGCCTTCCCATCTCTCCATTAATGACAAAAACCTTATGAAATGCCTCACCTCTCAGAGGACCTCCCGTAGTGTGTCAAACACTGGAATCAATTTAATATCAATGGCGGTGAGACTCAATTTTGTGTGGAGATAATTATAAAGCATTTTTTCCCTCTGAGCAGAATGAACCCTTGTTATTTAATATTACCTGGATGAATATTTGCTTGAAATATATTATTTAATTTTTATAGCTTCTACTTCCAAAACCTCTGTGTACCACATTTTCTCCTCTGTGATGTAGGAAAAAATAATACTAACCACTTCAAGACATTATTGTGATATGTGGAGATGATGTTTAGAATAATATCTGGCTCCTAAGAGGGGCTCAATATAAATTAGCCATTATTATCATAATTCTGTACAAATTGTACTTTTAGAAAGAGGCAACCTCTTGGTCCATGTATTCAAATTTGAAAAAGGAAGTACAATAGTCACTCGTCTATTTTTTACCCCAAGCTAGTTATTAACGTGGGAACACTGAAAACCCTTTCTCCCATGATTGATTTCAACCTTTAAAAACATTCTTTATTTTACCTTGTTGAGCAGAATTTCTTGTGTATAAATTAGAAATGCTTGGGCTCAAGACCAAAGCCTGTGGATGTCTGTAAGTCAGTTTCCCATCTAGCCTTATCCACTTCTCAGTCAATAATGATGATAAAAAGAGGACATGTTTGAGGTCAAACAATAACATATAATACATCACATTACATTAACACAATGTAAAATATTGACCACTTCATCCGCAAGTAAATATAAGTATTTTTAAGAAAATATTTCTATTACCTGCTGCAATTGCTTGATCTGCAATTATTTTTTCAAAGTCTTCTCTTTCTAAAAATCTCCTGGAAATAATTCAATATCTTAAATTATAAAATGATACATGAATGCTAAAAATTCATATTATAGGAAACAGAAATTATGACAGGTAATAGCTTTGCAGAAACAAATTCTGTCTAGCAACTTTGCAGGAACAGAGCAGTGACATGTACAGTCCAAAGCAATGTTGGGAAAGTCCAACCTGTATGTGAACTGCACATGACATAGWGTATTTCCTCATCCTTACTGAAGCATATTTGCCTTTGATGTTCATTTTACATAGACTAGTACTAAAGGAAATGTGAACTTGCAGAGAACCAGGAGTGTGACCTGCTCAAGAAGAGGTAATGGGGGCTGAGATGTGACTGAGTGGTAAAAAGCTTGCTTAGCATGTGTAAGGCCCTGGGTTCAGTAACCCCAGCCCTCCCACACAAAGATAGTAATAAATCTTCAGAGTTTTCTTATCATCTATCTAAAAAAAAATCCACATAACGAGGGATTTTACTTTTAAGTATCACTGTTGCTTTGCTGTTTTTTTTCTTAAGCAAATACACAGTATTTTTGCTTTTTGGGTTTAGAGCTGTACATATTTATCTCAGACATCATCAAATTATACTTTCATTCTTACTCTTGTATAGAAAATTAGTAACTGAGAAATATAGTATTTAATCAAATTGCACTTATTTTTATATTACTGATAACCTAATAGCAGACATTCTGATTAATAAAAAATATTTCAGTAATTTCAACAGGATAACCTGTCAATTTATTAAGTTTTAGTGTGGTCATTGTGTCACTCAGGTAGGTTRCTCAGAGTGCTTTTGCTTTGTTTCTTCTTCTGGGATCTTCTAACTAATCATAGCATCATTTGTATGAATTCATGGGGAGGGTGAATTTCTGACACCCATGATATGATTATAACAAAATCTAGTAAGTTACTGAAGCATATTAAAAGACACCCAAGGTTCTATTTGTGGTTCAATTTGCCATTAGATGAATCAAGTTTACAATCAGGTAAATTTAAATTTTTAAATATAATTTCAATATAATGTTGAGAAGTTTTCACAAGGAAATATGTTCAAGAGGGATACTGGCCAGTTCAGTAATTTGTCATATAAAGGTATACTAGTTATAACTATTTACAATACTAGGTAAAAATATTTTATCTAAGTGGGTTGAAAATCACCCTATGATTTATTTATGTATGCATGTATATACATATATGAATATGTGTGTATGTATTATATGAAATTTGGATCTAGAGATCCCCAAATATTGTTAGATATTTGTCTATATTAATCAATTCTTGGATTATTTTTTCTTCATTTATGCAACTTCTGTTTTTTTTCATAAAGAATGAGAGCAGATTTCCTCACCCTGTGCTCTCCCTTCCTTCCTTCCTTCCTCTCTTCCTTCTTTCCTTCCCTCCTTCATTCCTTCCCTCCTTCATTTTTTGTATCAGGGATTGAACCCAGGGAACTTAACCATTGAGCCACATCCCCAGTCCTTTTTAAATTAAATTAAATTTATTTATTTTTTAATTTTGAGACAGGGCCTTGCTAAGGTGCTGAGGCTGGCTTTGCTCTTGCGATCTCCCGCCTCCACTGCTGGAGCAAGCTGCTGTCAATGCTGCCGTTTCCTAGCACCCATGATACAAGATGTGAACAGAGGTTAGGTTGTCCAAAGAGCACATAGTGCAATTCATGCACCTGAATTTCTTCAAAATTCATCTTCAAAAAATACAAGCAGTCATAATCACTTGCATGTGTACCAGCAAATGCATGTATGCAACACACACACACACACACACACACACACACACACACACACACTATACATACCCTACCCATGAATTCATATAAATGATGCTATGATTAGAAGATCCCAGAAGAAGAAACAAAGCAAAAGCTCTCTGAGCAATCAACCTGAGTGACATAATGACCACACTAAAACTCATTCTCTGAAACAGGAGAAAGGTAATGGTAGTGGGGTGGGGGATGAAGAACTTCAGTCAAGGGCAATTTCCTGTTTAATATATTGGGTATTTTTGTTGTTGTTTGTTTGTTTGTTTTTCAAGTTCCAGACAATAATAAGCCACATAAAAAAAGGTTAAGTTGTGTATATCCATTGGCAAACAGAGAACAGTGAAAATGATATGTGACTTGTCAATGAGCAAGTGAAGGAGAGAAACAGAAGCAAAAAGAGACTGCCCAAAACTTAAAAAAAAAAAAAAAAAAAAGCAGAGCAAAGAAGAGCCATTTTGCTCATCCGCAAAGCAATCCTAGGATTAACAATCCAATTAACAATTGTTAACAATTGACAATTATATCATTTAAAAGGACAGTTATCTTTTTGTCCTGTAAGAAATAGGGAAAGTGGTAAACTGTTTTTTAAGATTTCCAAATAAAATGATTGTTGTTTATTAAGTTGTGAGATTTATTTTAAGAGATATGGCCCTGGGAACACATCCTTTCTGCATATTTGTCTGTGRTTGTCAGAATATTTCAGGATGCAAAGCCCTAAGAATAAATTTCCAGTGAACTGGCTGCCAAGGACTTAAGCAGACAGACACAGTAGCAGGGCAAGAATGACTTGTGGCTATCTTATCAGTCTGACTGAGAATTAAGGTCAGAGGCCTCCTGGAATGCTTTTCATATCACTYGTGTAAACAAAGCTTCTGTCAGACACATAGATTCACACTCTCTCCTTCTGAACCTCTCCCTGACCCCATCTTGGCTTATTTCTGCTGCCTGTAGCCTGGGACCAGTCAGTCAGCCAGGAAAATTAAGCCCAGATAATCCACAGGACAGATTATCCACTCATGGGTAGGAGATAATATGAATGCATTTATAAAATATCCCAATGATGGTAACTGCTTTGCAACGTTCCAGTGTTCAATTCTGCAAATCTAACTCAAATATTTATTGTATTATTGACAAATTAAGTTATCCTTGAAATTTCAAGGTATCAGAAATAGGGTTGATCAAATTATTCACCAGCCATAAAGGTGCTGAGAAATGGATACATGTCAGCTTAAAAAAGAAATGTCACCTTACATTAAGTCTCCTCCAAAATCTTTTCAAGGAAAATTTTAAAAGAGAGTACACACATACACACAGAATATGATCATATTCACCAGAGCAGCCAAACTGGTTATGAGAATGCTGATACTGAAGAACTTCCTTAAGAATTAGTAAGTAACTTAGCTTCTTCCCCAAGCTTGGGTCCCCTTCCTCTTACCATCTTGATACTTCTACCTTCTCTGATATATTTGCTAAAGGTTGAACATTTTGAAATATGTGTGTTAGGGTAAGAGTGCCTGCTGGCACACTCCTTGGACCTCTGTTCTGATTTCTTTCTGTCTATGCCTTACCAAATATTTTGCTAAATACTTCCTAAATATTTTACACATAACCCCTTAGTATATATGAAAGTATAAACCTTATGGGAGCTTGTTGAAAGTAGAAGTATATGGAAACATGGTTAAAATCATGAGCTGTAAAAAAAAAAAAAAAACAAAACCCAAGCTGAATTTCATACTCCTACATAGTTGTAAAATCCTAAAACTTTTTCATAAACCCTAATTTAGTCTTCTATGAAATGTGAAAAATAAATGCACTTACTTTCAAATTAGTAGCTGCTAAAATACTTAGCCCATTTCTGGCATATCATAATGATTCAATAAAGGTTGATGCATGCAGTAAGTACTGGCTACTTTCAGTCATATTAGTAGTTATAACAGGGAGTTCACAGAACTAAAGTGGTTCAACTTACCTGCTTTCTTTTATTTTATGCTTTGCCAATGTTCTCTGAAGTGCAAGGTTCAGCCGTTCAAACTGGAAATTGAAAAGAAATGTTTTAAACATTTCCTTACCTAACAATTCATTTGAAAAATGCAGATTTAAAAAATCATTCTGAAGGTTTCTAAAAAAGGAGAAACTTTCTTGCCTGAATGATTTAATATAGTGGGTTTACACTTTGGAAGCTGGGACTGGGTTGCTATGTGTTCTTCTAACTTGGGAAGAAACAATGAGCTCAGACTAATGTGAGTTTGGCTGTGAGGTTGTACACAGGCTTTGCCTCTTTAGCTATGATATCACTGACAGCCACAGGACAATAAAGCTGAGTCTGAATCTAAACAGAAGCCTCCAGTTTGGTAATGTCAAGTCTTCTATAGAATCCATAGTCATCACTCATTGGTTCAGGAAGTTCCCCTAGATGCCCTGCCACTACTTCAACCACAGCATCACATAACTCATTATGTCTCTCCAGTATACTACTAATGTTTTTTATTGGACTTTTATACTTTCTTCTTTAGGAAAGTGAGTTCTGATCCAAAATGGAAAAGCTGGAATACACTTGCTTCACCAAACTCAGCTATAGTAGGAAGAGGGACCATTCCTCCTCCCTCTCTTATAAGGGCAGCAAAGGTTAGAAGAAAATGACCAATTTTTTATTCCCTGCTGGCAATGAGAAGATCATGAAACACCAAAAAGGGTCTTGACTGAAAGACACAAAGGGATAGTCCTGAGGAAAAGGAAGAAAAAATATTCCGGTGACAGAATTGTTTGCATTTCTCTCCTCAAAACCATAATCAGGAGTTTCTGATTCAGGATAGGTGTAGCTCATTGATAGAGYGCTTACCTAGCAAGTGAAAGGGCCTGRGTTTGATCCCCAGTGCCAGGAACAAAACAAACAAAAAACCTTCTTGATCAGAGCAGCAATTCATATATAAACAAGATAATTCAACTTAGTTTAGTTTGGAAATAATTTGTAAGAAATTCTAAGAGTAACATTCTATACTTGACTATAACACTTCTCTAATACAATTTTACAGATTAAACATTCAAGACTTTTGAATAGTGAACAGAAGGAATGTAACTCATTCATTCAATAAATATGTATATTCTATCTACTATGAGCAAGTGCTATTCTAGGTTGTACACTCACCCCAGTGGAAGAGACAGGTAATAAAAATTAAAAAAAAAATGAGTAGCAAACACTATGAAGGAAAACTGAGACCTCATTCACAAAGGCAGCAACCCTGAATTATTTATGAAACTTTTTCCAWATTAATATATTTTGCAGAAAGAAAGAAATCACTCAAGCCCATGATTTCATGGATTTATATCCATTTCAACACTTTGTTACTAGTAATATCAAGGTAATGTTCTGCTCTTCAGAAATTCAGCTTTTTCWGCACTCTGGATGATGAACCTCATTTACTGTCCCACCAGTAGAACTAGTACCTGTGTTATGAATGCACTCTGAATGRAATTTTCATGAATAATTGCTATTTGAGGCAACATGGATGTGACTTTGGATGACCAGAAATTCTGACTTTGGATGGTCAGAATTTTATTGTCATAGTTTTTGGATGTCACTACTTCAATTGGTTTTTCACTTGTCTACGATTTTTAATAGACCAAGTATACTTTAATTCATAAGGGTAAATTATAACATTGCTCCTTTTTTTTCTCCTTACAACCCAATATTCTGGAACATATGTAGAACCTCATGATTCTCTTCATATCCTCTTCTTCTCTAGATCTGTGATATGGGGTAAAACCATTTATGTGAGCATATCTAATGTAATTGATTCAATTCAGAAAACGGATCAGATTTTCTACAACTAAGGCTCAAACTCCATTAAAGCTTCTTAGACTCTATGCCTGAGGAGCTCACAGGATTATCAGGGGGCAACATCTATGAAAAAAATAAACAATATAATAGTAAAAGACCAATAAATGATTGAGATTCAAAGAGTTTTTCATGACTCCAATTATGTTTTTTTTTAAGTTTAAATTGGTATTTTAACTTTATGTGCTTTCATTTTTTTTTCAGACAAAAATTACAAATTTGGATGTAATGATCAAGACCTTTTAAACTCAAAYATTCCACTACTCTGGAAGAACAGCTCCCATTGTAAATTTTCTAATGATAATGAATTTTAAWACTTGCCATCCCTCACAAAAACGTAATCAAAGAGTTAAATCTGATTACCTAAAATAAGAACTATGATGTCAAATACTATTTTGAATTTCTTCCTTTGGATTATTGATAGAACTGAAACTAAAACAGGCTGAACATTAAATCTGTCAATTTGAAAAAGAAACAGTGAAAAATAGAGGTATATATCAAAGACAAGCAGAGGTTTGGACAGCCAATGATGAAATTCAGATTGATTAGTRCACTTTTCAACTGTTTTCATCAATGGGGCATTTACTGTCATATGGCAAATGACCTCAGATGGAGAAGAAGAGTCATACTTCTTCCTACTATAATTCCTATAGCCTTGTCCTCTCTGCTACAYGACACTAGTCAATTCTTTGAGTATTTTTGTGAGTTCATGAAAAAACAACACAGTTTATTCTAAATAAAGAGAAAGCAAAAATATAACTTATATTTMATATTCCACCCTGGCATTTCAGAACATTTCATTAGGAAAAAAAGTAGGGCAGTTTATAGTGGCCCACATGTCTCAAAGAATAACAGAATTCACACAATCCCATGACTTCTCCAAGAGAGAGGGAGAGAAATGGAATACGCACATCCATTGAAAAGATTTCAGAAGGCCACAGAACCTCTAGCTTGGACAGTTGTTGAAGGTATTTCCAATCCCTTTAAAGCCAGCTTATAAAAACTCAAATGATGATTGCTTCTTCACATGATAGACACCTAACAARGCTATAAGGAACACAAAGAGCCAGGGAAATGTGACACAACTGAAGAACAAAATAAATGTTTAATAACCTACCATCAAGAAACAAGGAACTATGAATTACTTGACAAGAAATTCAAAATAACAATGTTTGCTCAGTAAGCTATAAGATAGCACAAATAGACAAAGTCAAGAAAATTTTGTGAACAAAYGGAGAATAATAGAAAAGGAGTAGAAAATGTAAAAAATGAACCAAACAGAAATTCCAGAGTTCAATAACATATTAACTAAACTGACAAATTCAATAAAGAGTTTTAGTAGCAGATTTGATAGAGCAAARGAATCTGCAAATTCAAAGACAAGTCATTTGAAACTACTCATTAGAAGATCAAAAAGGAAAAAGAATGAGGAGAATTTATGGGCCTTTTGGAACACTATCAAGTGAATCAGAATGTTTCAAAAAGAGATTCCAACATGTATATATTCTTAATGTAGCACTTCAAAATTTATCCAACAAAATATTAAAGCTAACGTGACAGAACTCAGGGAAAGGATGGAAGCAATCCAATTTTCTCATAATCACCATCTGTTCACCTCTGCGCATTTCACTCTATGCTTAGAAATAAGAGTATTAACCACTTCTCAGACTATGATACAAACACTCCCTGAGAAGGGCTATATTTTTCATCCTAGCCAAAGCTGGTTGTCTAATGACTGAAGAGGAGTGAACATAATTAAATATTTCCATTTCAATGATAATAAGCCAAAATACTATAGTGATAATATAATATTTGTAGTAAGCTCCCTCAACTTTCCTCTAGTTCTGATGCATCTTCCTTTAAGCATCAATTTGTCTCCTCTTTCTCATTCTACCCTTATTTTTAAATCAGTTACTGCTCTAACCACTGAAAGCTGCTTGGTTTTGGTTAAGTCACTAAATTTCTCTGATACTTCCTGCCTGCAGGTGGAGGGAGTTTTCTTTGAAATTCCTTTTATATCTAAATGTCAGTGAGTCTGGGTTCTTTGGTGCTCTGCATCAGTAAAAGGTTGATTTTTTATTAATTAAAATTATCAACATTTTATGAWAGCTGAATTATGACTATGTCAATGTCCAACTTTATAAATAAAGTGAGTTTATATAAACCTATGAATATCAAAAAGGGATGAAGATATCATAAGGATTTGCAAATGCTCTTCTCTTTAGCCCTGCAGGGAGAGAGGAGCTCTCCACCTCCATTTCTTAAATATTTGACTTCCTTTGGTAAATACTGTGTTCTAAAGTTTCCTTTCACCCTCTCTCTCTTTAATATAAAGAAATTTTAAAAATTTTATTGGTGCATTATAATTACTATATATAATGGTGGAAATCATCATYACATATTTGAACATRCACACAATACAACAATATAATTTGGTAAATTTCATTCATCAATACCTCTTTCCTCCTATCCTTCCTTCCCTAGTTCCCCTTCCTCTACTCYATTAGTCTCCCTTCTAGTTTCATAAGATCCCATCCCTCTTTTCCTCTTTTTCTCTTTATATAAACATTGACTTCCTAGTTTGGCTTATTTCACTTAATATAATGCTCTCAAGTTCCTTCATTTTCCTGAAAATGACATAGTTTCATTTTTCTTTGTGGCTGAATAAAATATATATATATATATATATATATATATATATATATATATATATATATATATATATATCTCACAATTCTTTTTCATTCATCTGTTAACAGACTCCTAAGCTGGTTCCATATTTGGCTACTGTGAATTGTGCTGCTACAAACATATACCACTTTAAATGCTAACTTTAGTACTTGAGGATAAATACTGAGGAGTTATATAACTGGATCATATGGTGGTTCCATTAATAATCTTTTGAGAAACCTATATATTGATTTTTATAATGGTTGTACTAATTTACAATCCCAGTAATGGTGCATAAGTATTCCTTTATCATCATTCCTGTGTTAACAACAGTGTGACACTGAAAATCACAAGCTCATGTCTCTGACCCAARGGAATGCCTGGGTTAAATCTAATTTGTACAGTTTTTAGATTCAGAGCCAATAAAAAAAGGAGATTTCCAGACTTCTGCAAGTTGGCAGGGAATAAATGATACTCTTTGGAATTAGGACAGGAAAGCCTGTCAGAAAGCACATTATTCTTCAAAGAATTCAATTTTAAAACAATAGATAAAGCCACTGAGTACTTATGGTATGGCAAGAGCTACGGATGATTCCACTTAGTACTCATAAAATTCTAGGGACTAAATAATATTATTATTTTCATTTCACAGATGAGGAAACTGAGGCTATCAGCAGTTAAACAGTTGCCCAAAGTGATAAAGTTTGTCAAAATTCATAATCTTTTTTGAAAATAATTCAAGATGTTAAACATTTTAAGACTAAACACAATTTGAAGCATGGTTCTTCTTAAAAAATGTTTTCGTATGTTTTAAGGAAATATTCTGTATTTAGTATAACCTTAAAAGTGAGAAAGCAAGTGTTTAAGCATTTTCCTTAAACATATGTGAGTGTGTGTGTGTGTGTGTATTTGTGTGCATTTACAATTTCAAAATATCATTAACCTCTCTAAAGGATATGCACTCACTCACCTCTGGGAAAATCAGTTTGCAAATACTCTCTGCCAAGGTGTGAAGATAGACTCGGCTCCGACTGGTCTTTCTTTGTGGATGTGCTCCTTGTACGTTCTTCTCAGGGATGTCTTGACAGATGGGCAGGGCTGCTTTGCAGCTCTCCGCACCTCCTACTACCTCCTCTGCTGGATCTTTAGGAACCTGACCTGGGGCCAGTAAGGAGAAAGGACATTCCCCTGTAATCTTGAGATCCTTGAGCTTTGTGCAGAACATGATGCTGGCGCTCTCTCTGCTGTGATTTCCACTGTCTGAACTGCTGTCCTGATAAGCAACAGCCACTATCAATTCAAGAACACTGTTGACCGGTGTGTCTATGGGCAAAGAGAACAGAAAGAGAACTAAGAGGAGTGACCTTTCACACTTAGGAAAACAAGAGGAAGACAGGTGTCAGAAAATAAAGACCATAGAGTCATATCATTTTCAAGAAAATAATTAAATATATATATTTTATATATATAATAATTAAATATATATATAATGCAGGTGCCAATTACAAAATGAGTAGAACATCTGGCAAAGATATTTAATATGTGCACATTTAACTCTACTACTATAGTAAAATACTTGCTTTTAGTGTTTTAACATTTGTCAAATAAAACGTTTTTTTCTAAAATGTTCTTAACACAAACTACTAATTTTTATTTTTATAATCCATYTGCTCTAGTTTGATTCCTTAACAGTGGAATACCATGCCAAAAATTCAAGTCTAAATCTATGTTTTATTGCTACATTCCATCATTATTCCATTCTTCTTTCTAAAAAAATATGAATTGTATAAACCAATATCTCCTAAAAAATACCTAAAGAAGAAAGTATATATGGAAAGACATAATGATGCCCAATTATATGTTTTTGGACCTGGAATATAGAATTTCAGATGAAAAACAAGATCARTAAAAATGACTACTGCAAATRAAMAYATTTATCACTATAAATAGCAAAATAACTTTAAAATATTATCATAAAAATTAATTTCTCTTCAAAGAACTCCTCATGACTAAGAACATATGGAATTTTCAGGTGTYTGAGGATCCATATATAGAGAACACTTGGATAAATCAAGAAAGATTCTCTTTCCAGGCCCACTAAACTCATACACATCTCCATTCCTGCATATTCTCCCTTCTACTTTTTTGTCAATGTCATGGTTGTAAATCTCCACATAATTCATAACTCAATTATTGCTAGTTAATTGTCACTAAAACTGTCTAGTTTGAACACATCGTTAACAACACTAATGATCTTTGACTGGATCCACCAACCCTTTTCTACTCTGAAGAAAAAAAGAAAAACTCAAGAAATAATGGAAAAGAACCCACAACTACAAATTCCCTACAACGTGTGTGACACAGTCTTGAGACTCTATATTTATAACTAATACTATCAGCAACCATATGACACAGGTATTATTATCCCCAAAGGGCCAGAGGCTCCAAAGCTCAGKTCATTTTCTTGCAAGTGAAAAGCTAGAAACTGACAGGGCTAGTGTTGCAATTGTAGGTCTATCTGACTTCTGAGCCAACCTGTTTGCTATTACCCCGACTAATTTCAAGTGAGACCAATTTCTACATAATCAGGCTTAGTTTATAAACTAAGATAAGTTTATCTAAAAAAAACATGACTTACAAGTTTATATTAAAAGTCAATCAGAAATCTGTATATTCTGTCATTTGGATAATGGTATCTGAATCATCCAACACACAGTTTTATATTTCAATCTTTAGTACTGGAATGTGATCTTTTTCTTTTTCTTTTCTGTGTTTTTCAGTGACCTGATATATTCTCAGTATGTATGTAAATTGTCACAGGTAAGTTATCTTATCAGATCTGAACAATGGACAATTCATTTTTCTGAATGGAGAACAATAAGAAAACTAAATTCAACACTGGACACCCAGGAGGTGACATGCGTATCAGATACAGGGACACTATGGATGCTGCCAGAAGCTCCAGAATGGGCTGTCACTTAAAGTTATACCCCAATTCTGTGATCACATGTAATTTATGAATCAATAGGGCACAAAGGGAGATTCCATGTGTTCAAGAGCAGAAAATATATTCTGCTCAAAGGGAATGGAACTGTTTATCTCAACCATTCACTGAGGCAGCCCAAAGGTCATACAGTGATGGGGAACAGCTATATGAATTCTCAAAGACTTAAAAGTCTAAAGTTTCCAGCCACATTCCCTTTGAGCCTTCATTCAATAAAAATCCATATCTCCATTTTTATCACATCTCAACATAATGCTAATATTATCTTACTATTATTGTTTACTGACTTTTAAACTTTTATTTTTTTTATTTTTACTAACTTCTATTTTGATTTATGGTTTAAATCTCTAATGAGTAAACATTTTCTGTAAAGGGCCAGCTTTGCAGGTTATGCAGCCTTGTTTGCAACTACTCAATTCTACTGTTGCAGCATGAAAACAGCCATGGACCCTAAACAAAGGAGTGAGCATGGATACATTCCATTAAAATCTTATTTGTAAAATCAGGCTGCAAATCTGATCATTTGCTGACCCCTGGTTGTAAAAAAAACTGAGTAATTTAAATGAAACATTTTGATCTGACTATAAGGCCAGAGTTACTTTTTCATATTCATTTCCTGCTTTTTTTCTTTCCAAAAGAAGCAACTATGTGCATCTAACTCTTGTTGTTTGTAGTGCKAGAGACTAAACTCGGGGGGACTCCTGCATGCTTGGCAAATGCTCTTCCCCTAAGCTACATACCAGGTCTATGGATCCACTTTTTGTAAAACTTGAAAATAATCAAACAGATTGTGGTGGATAATCTTAAATACCTATTTATTCTAAAAAATAAAAATGCCAATATTTGCATCAATGCTAACAAGAAAGAATGGTAACTGAATGTCATAATTTCAATTATCTCAAAATATAACTACAAAGACTAGCAAGAGAAGATAGTCAAAAAATGAAGGCAATGAGAAAGAGAATATTATAGACTGCATCTGACAAAATATATGGAACTTCTTTCTAAAATAAATTATTCTAATACRTATTAGAATTTTAGTATTGGACTTGGATGTTTGGCAGAATACAGCTTATGATAACTCTTGTACTAAACTTAATCTCTCATTCACATTGGATTTCAACTCTGGGAACCAAACTCAACATTTTAATTCTTATCTGTCTATTCATTCTGGTTCTAGATGTATACAACTGACCAATCAACCTCTCTTGAAATTCTTTCTTTTCCTGTATTGCATAGTACCCTAATTTCCAGAAAATGTCCCCTTTTTGTTGTTGTTTTTAATCAACTTAAAAAGGGCAACAGGAAATGAGTTGTGGTTACTTCAAGATTAGTTAAATTTTTAGTCTCATTAAGTCACATGTGTATAAACAAATAAATTAGCATTCTTCATGATTGTAATTTCTGGTGAAATTACACATGGACCTTTACAGGAAACCTATGTTCACCTTGTTTTCTTGGTTTGTCGACCAGGAATACAGAGTRCATTCTTCCATTAAACTAGTGATGATTTTTATGAGTAACATCATCAACAACTTCCGAAATGGTTCCCTGAGCTGATGAACTCAGAACACAGAGGATTATAGAGATGTTGTAACATGTTAAGGGGAAAAATAAATTAGAATAATAAATTTGATGACAAGATACYGATGAGCAGCAGGATCATTTGTTCTCAGAAACGTAGAGAAGTACTTGCTATCCCAAAAGTTGAAGATTAAACCATTTCCAAATATAGTGAATGTTTTCTCACCTTTACTAGTCAGTGAYTAACTTTGTTGGGCTGGGAATAATGACCCAGCTACCAGCCTTATCCTCATAATCAGAGACATTATTGTTCAGATAGGGGGACTCTCTACTGAAACTTTAATTAACCATGAACACCTTGTTTACTTCATGTAACAAAATCATGTGGACCTGAGGAAAACACTATTTAGGTACTCTGACACTAAATGCCTCTTTTCTAGCAGCAGATTTCAAAATTAGAAATAGGTGCTTGGTGCTGTGGCACAAACCTGTAATACCAGTGATTCAGGAGACTGAGAAAAGAGGATTGCAAGATTGAGAACAGCCTGGATAATTTGTTGAGACCCTGTCTCAAAATAAAACATTTTTAAGAGGTCTATGGATGTAGCTCAGTAGTAGAACATCTGCCTAGTACACATGAAACCTTGAATTTAATCACCTGTACCACCACCAAAAAAAAGGAAAGAAAGAAAGAAAGAAAGAAAGAAAGAAAGAAAGAAAGAAAGAAAGAAAGAAAGAAAGAAAGAAAGAAAGAAAGAAAGAAAAGAAAAGAAAGAAGAAATGGAGCTTGAGGGGTAGGGTGTGATGGGTGGACAGCATAAGAACTGAGTCTCCATCGTAAATGCAAGTAACTATATCCAATGTTTAATATCAGACCTAGATCCTGAACATGCCAAATATGTGACTAAAGAGAAAATATGTTTTACAATCAAATCTCAAATTCCGGACATTTAATAGTAGCCAATAGGAGAACTCAAGACCAAACAAATTGTTTTGGTAAGGATAAAATTTGCACACACCAGGACAAACCATAGCACCTGTTTTCATAAACAAACATGAGAAAAAAAGAGCTAAATTTTYAGGTAGATTGAAACTCTAGAAAGTTTTCCTTCCTTAAGTATTGAAAAAAACATGCCAAGTGTGGTGGCGCCCACCTGTAATCCCAGCAGCTTGGGAGGCTGAAGCAGGAGAATCACAAGTTCAAAGCCAGCCTCAGCAAAAGTGAGGGGCTAAGCAACTCAGTGAGACCCTGTCTCTAATTTAACACAAAATAGGGCTGGGGATGTGGCTTAGTGGTCAAGTGCCTCTGAGTTCAATTCCTGGTGACTCCCCCACAAATAAGAAAAAAATAAATAAATAAAATCCCCAAAATAAGTCTTTTAGAATTCACTGTGCAGTAGAAATGTTTACAGAACTTTCTCTGTGCTATATCAGGAAAGCAGCACAAAGTAGTAGAAAAATTGGAGGAYGTGTCCAAGTTTCTCCAATACTAAGTTTAAAAAAATAATTTAAAAAGCAAACCCAATTCTGACTCCTTTATCATGTCCTTCCTTCCTAGCATTATAATTATGTTTTATTKTCACACTTCTTGAGAGATCATGCCTGTGGAATCTGTTCAATTCCTGAATTGATATTTATTCCTAAGTCTAAAACTCTCTGGCTTTTGCTTCCAGTGTGTTACTGAAACCACCTTGTTAAATTCAATGATGCCTAAAAGTTAAAACTCAAGAATCTTTTGACTTTTAATATACTTGGATTCTCCATTCATTTGTGTTTTCTTTTTCATAATCTTGAC